GTATAGAAACCTCCGTCCGGCAGCTCATCTTGAAAGCTGCACACGAGCGTCCCTGGCTCCAGTTCAATCGATTGCTCGACAACAACTTGATCGCGTCCGGCTCCTTTGCGAAGCACTCGAATTCGCCCCGGCACTGGTTCCTGAGCCGCGTTTTGATCCCAATGGGCCCCAGGTCGATTGTTCAGCACCACTTGTACTTGAAACGGAGCCTTCTCGCGCATCGTCGCCGGCGAGGTAATCTTTTCGACGGTGATCTCCGTGCGAGCGACATCGGTAATCGGAACAACGTCAATGCCGATACCTGCCTGGCTTAGCGATCGAGCAATTGGCAACGCATCCCCTAACGTCTGTTTGCCATCGGTGACAATCACAACACGTTTGGCCGCATCGATGGGAAATGCAGCTTGGGCCAGTTTCAATGCGGCTTCTAGATTGGTTTGCTGCGGATCAATGGTCGCTTCCAATTGCGACCGCAGGAACAAGTCGCCTGACCAAGGGGGGATTTCGATCGCGGCGTCGCCTCCAAAACTGATCACCCCTACGCGATCGTCTGGAACCGAATCGCGATAGGTGTTCGCGGTCGTTCGCACGTAGTCAATCACATTCTCGAGACGGTCCGCGGGAATACTCAAGGAGCGATCGACCAGATAGATCACCGTTAAACGATCGTTCGTCCGAACTAGTTCTACCTCGGACAGGGCGAGCACCACCAACAAGACGAGAACGCTTCGCAATCCGTTGGAAAGAAACCAACGCCAGCGATTACCGATTGCGAGCCCGTTCCATGAAACCCACCATAAAGCCGGAATCAACGCCAGCAAAAACAGGAAGATTGGGCGTTCGACTGAAAACTGAAGATCGGTCATTCAGAGACTTTCCGGCAAATCGGCATCCAACAAAGCGACACGTTCATTCTACGCGAAGTGGTTCAAAAAACAGTCATCTTTGCAAGAAACCCCGGGAATTACGCTTAGTTGCGGTGGGCATCGTCGGACAGTCCGTTACGATGAAGCCACTAGGATCGGGGGATCTTTGCCTGAACGCGTCATGAAGCAACATCGGAGGCCGCATGAATTCCCAAGCACCGGAGGCAGATCAGCGGGGCACATTTCTGAAAACCGTCATCGACGGACTCGACCGCGTGGTCATTCCACTGGTCTGGTACAGCGTGATCATGCTGGCCGTGGAATGCCAGTTCTATCCCAACGATGACAGCCACGACACACCGATCTATTTCCTATGGTCCGAACGGATCGTCGCGCTGATATTCACGATGGAATATATCGTCCGCCTGATACGAAACTCAGGTCGCGGGTTTTATCCTTTCACCGCATTGGGCGTCATCGACTTAATCGCCATTGTCCCATTCTGGACCGGATTTGTTTTTACGACCGACGCTTTTCTGCACGCGATTCGTACGCTACGCGTGCTGCGGATGCTGAAGTTCTTTCGCTACTCGCGCGGGCTGCAGTTAATGGCATTGGGGTTCTATCGTTCCTACTGGAACTTACGACCGTTGATGCTGGCGACGCTGATCATGATTCTGTTTACCACGTTCGCATTGTTTGAAGTGGAAGGAGTGCATCAGGAAGAGTTTCGCAGTTTGTTCACTGTCGTCTGGTTTCTGGAGGTAACGGGAACAACGGTCGGTTACGGCGATTTGTCTCCGGAATCGGTGCCCGGCAAGATCATCGTCATGTTCTATATG